AAGGTCCGAAAGCAAAATCCAAACGCTGTGACAACTATATTACAAAACAAATACGTCGACAACAGTACGAACAGTTACCAGATCATCATCATCATCATCATCATCATCATCATCATCATCATCATCATCATTATCATCATCATCATCATCATCATCATCATCAACAACAACATCATGTAACCCCTACCTGTGCAGAAGAGAGGGCGTCCGAATCGACGCCGGGGAATCCCCCTCCGATGTCCAGCAAGTCCATGTCGAAGCCCAGCTGATGTCCAGCGCTGAACACGGCATGGGCCTCACGGATTGCCTGACTGAAGCAACGCTCGTCAGAGGGTAGACTGCCCTCATGGAAACTGGAAAAGGAACCACATAATGACCATCTATCTATCAATCTATCAATCAATCTATCTATCTATCTATCTATCTATCTATCTATCTATCTATCTATCTATCTATCTATCTATCTATCTATCTATCGATCTGCCTGCCTGTCTGTCTGCCTGTCCGTCTGTCTGCCTGTCTGTTTTTGAATAAGGTTCAATGTGCCCTTTCTCAAGAGTATACAACTCAGCGCCACGTATTTAGGAGATTTTGATAATTTACTGGCTACTCATTAAAATAAACCCAGGAAAAAAGGAAACAATAATATAAACAAAACATTCCCCAAACAACCACCCCCCCCCCCTAAAAAAAATCCCGAAGGAAATACCAGAGAGGAATCTCACAAGTCTCAATGACTTAGTTAAGAAAGACTACTCTAGCAAATATCTGTGGTGCACTGTTAACGAAATGCTTTTTGGGTAGTCTCCCTTGTTGTAGTTCTCGGGCAATGCATGTAATACATAATGTACATTATCGTCTTTGAAAGAAGCTGTGAATTTTACAAAGATAAAACAGTTCTTAGAACAGAAATTGGTCTTTCTATAGAGAAGGTTGTTGTCTCAGAATGCCTACGTGCAGAGAGATCACTGAGGTAGGAGTCTGTTCCACTGCTCCGGGCGTCTGTATACTTCTTCCAGGTCGACTACGAAGAAAGCATTTTCCTGGTTCTGAAACAAAAAAAACAACCAAACCGTTAAAATATACATTTAGAAATGGGCTCTCTCTGCCTACTCTTCGCCCCTCCCCTTCCCCCTCCCCCTTTTCCCTTTCGCTTTCTCTCTTTCTTTATCTGTATCTGCTTGCGATAATGAAAGCAAGTTTAGATTGAGTTCTACGGGGACTAAAATTCTCTCTCTCCCTCTCTCCCCCTTTCACTCTGTCTGTCTGTCTGTCTGTCTGTCTGTCTGTCTGTCTGTCTGTCTGTCTGTCTGTCTGTCTGTCTGTCTGTCTGTCTGTCTGTCTGTCTGTC